TCAGAATTATAGATAGATGGATAATGAGATTACTTTCAGCGTAATCAGAATTTTTTATGTATGCACATGTATGTGTGCGTGTACACTAAAGGTGACAGTGTCAGGGCTTCCCAGCTCACGAAGGCAAACCGGCACGTCACCTGCTCTTCGCTCCTGTGTCAAGTGTAAACAGTCCCGAGGCTGGCGTGTGCGTGGGTGGGTGCTGGGGCGAGAGATAAGCGCTGGGGAGAAATAGGCAGGGCGAGCGGTTCTCACAGCCCACGCGGGAGCGATGCCCTTTTACCTGATGGGACAGGTAGTTTCCAAGAAAGACGGCGGGTCTTGTTTGCTTACCTTCAGCCAGCCCACGACTCCTGGTGGAGGGTTGTCTCAGCAGCCACGGAGAAGGTCTCAGGTTGTCTCGCGTAGCGTTAGGACCCCTGAGTTGCACTTTAGGGACACACGGAGCGCAGGCGGTGTGTGTAGCCAAGGTGGGTATGCAAATAGCAGCGTTCAAAGTGAGAGCCATACACTGTGGAATGTGAACTGTGACGAAGCTGAGGAAGGTGATTAATGTCTGACAAGAGCTATTTAATCTGCGCACACCGCTGTGTAACTTTTCTTCTCTTCCTCTTTCTGTTTTAAAAAAGAAAAATGTTTTGCAAGGCCAGCGTGAAGCAGACAAAATATGGAGCAAAGAAGGATTTTATGCAGTCGTCATATTTCTCAGCATCTTTGTCATTCTAGTAACTTGTTTAATGGTAAGTTTCCTTTTAACCTTTTTTTTTTTGCTGTTCTTTACTTCATGCTTTTCTCAGTCTGAAGGATAGAGTCACACATTCTTTATATGAGAGGTGTTTTCTCAAAGCTGTTAAAAACTTAGCTACAAGGTAAGATTTGGTCACTCTCATAATGTGAAGCCAAAGTTTGAAGAACCACATTTCTTGATATGTTTTGAGTCCACCTGAAGAATATAACTAGAAGGAAGCTAAAGAAATAAATAATGGGCTCTTAAATCTGCAGAGTAACTGTGTAGTGATGCGAGTGATGACTTCTCAACGTTCTTACTAAGGTCCCAGGATCCCTGAAATTACATTAGTTGCCTGTATTTTGGTTTTATTGACAGTAAAAACAACACCACATTGACACTATATTGTCAATGCACAGTTGTTAGAGTGTGTGTTGGTATTCATGTATCAAATACACAAATTTTAAACTGAGATGACTATTAAGTACACGAAGGAGTGATCATATTTTTGAACAACTTTGCCTTCACATTGTCTGAGTTCATTGGCCAGCTTTCTGGGCATTAGGCATACTTCTAATATGCTGAATATGAGATGTGCAAGTGTCACATAGATGATGAACAACACTATACCACCATTGACTTTCATAGGGTAATTTTTGCATTTTTTTCCGGTGTTGTATCTCACATGTTTTCCTTCTCTGGATTGTATATTTCTTCTGTGGTGCATAAATAAGTTTACTGAATTCTATGGCAATTCTCAGCATTTATGAACACATAGTATCTTGGAGTCTTTTAAGATATTTTACTTTCAAGCACATTTAATTTTCTTTAACCTTGATGGATTTCCCCCTTTCAACGTTAAGATGGAAAGAATGTTTAAACTGAAGATATTAATAAATGATTACATTTATGACAAGATATTATTTAAGCTTTTACAGTCTCCCTAAGATTTGAAGAGCACTTATTTTCTCACAAAAATTCTTGCTTTATGTAACTTTCACTTCCTAGTCATCTCCATTTCTCCATGCTATCTCATTCAAAAATAAGAGGGTAACTCTAGAAGTACTAACTTTTACTCAGACTTTTTACTTTAGAAAAGCAAGTATTTTAGTCATTGCTGACTGTTTAACTGGAAGGGTATAGAAGCTGCTGTCTGTCCTTGTCCTGGTACTGCACAATATTTTAATTATTCGGAACGGGTAGACGGCATTGGGAATTATAAACATTGTGGAGGACAGTATCAGAACTTAAAATATTCTTAAGGTGCTGGAGAAAAGACGGGAAGTAACAAGAACGCTGCTCAGCAGGGACAAGAACTCTAATCACGTGCATCAGTAAAATGCGGGAAATACGTGGCAAAGCAACAGCTCCGTAGGGAAGGTTCCAGTAGTACCACAGAGCACACACCGAAGTAAATGAGTAACATCATGTTGTCGCAAAAATTACAGTTCTTGCTCTGGGAGATATAGATGAGGATATGATCTCTAAGACCTGCATTTGACTTGGCTCTGGTAATGATTTGGTTACAGCATTGCGTCTTACTCATGTTGTGTGGTCTGTTGCGGGTACCGCACTTGTGAAAAATGTGTGCAAGTTACAATAGGGAGGAGATAGAATAGTAACCAGAGGTACAGAAGGCATAAAATAATTTGGTTTGTTCATGACAAAGAAAAGAAAAGAAAGGAGAAACATGATAGTTCTCAAACATGGAAAGTTTTCAAAGACTGTGGTTAGGAAGAAGGTAACACTTTCTCCACCGTGGATGGGAAAAGAAGCAAATTTTTTTAAAGGGTCATTTGGGTGACTCATTTGAAAGAACTTTGTTATCACATGGGTCACTAGACCCTGGAGTGCATTGCTTGGGGAAGCTCAGGATTTTTCACCCATTAAGGTTTTAGGCAAGCATCTGTAAGGAACAGTTTGGATATAGCTGATCTGGAGTTAGGTCAGAAGTAGACTAGAAGACCCCTTGAACTCCCTGATCTTTTCTGCAGACATTTGCCTTTCTGTTCCCCCCCAGGTCCAATCCTCATCTTTATGCTTGCTACTGTTTAGACCATGTAAATGGAAACTGTCTCTAATATTGCCTTGACCTGCTGAAACCCGAGTACGTGCAATTTATATGTCCAGCAAGCGGTGCACATTGTTTGTCATCCCACTTTGCACATGACAGAGCGGCAGATTTATGAAAAGTAGGAATTCAGTATTTCAAATTCAGCCATCGCAGTGTATCAGACCATTCAGGTTTAGCGTAAGGTGTTAGGGCCAATCCTAAGTGCTTTTGGCTGTAGTGACCATATCAGACAACCAAAATGAGGCCTCTTTTTTAAAGTTACAGGGTAGTCACCTGTTTGTCCATAAGTGGCTATTTGTAGTTTAGAGGGTCCAAAAGCAGAAAAGCTTAGCCTGCATCTGTAGATGACCTGGAAGTGTCCCTTAAAGTGTGGAGTAGGAAGTAGTTTAAGTGATGATTATGATGATCAACAGTGCTCAGTGTACAGGAGCTGAATTGTCAGTGTCAGTGCTTTGTTCTGTGTAATTTCTACAGAAATTATAAAATATGCAGTCTTGTCTTTTAACTGGATTTTACAAATCATGATGCTTCCCTGCGCTGAGAGCACCCTGTGCATTAACAGCTTTTAGGCTTCTTAATGCTTGGCTGGAATTTAACAAATATCTGGCCTCTATACTTAAAAATCTACAGCGTAGAGTATTGCTAAACGGTGAAATCAGCAGGATGAGAGCTAAATTCAGACTTGTAAATGGTACCTCTGAGGTTGTTCTATGTATTTACTCAGCTAGTCCTCGTTGTCGTGGTATGAGAGCCTCTTGGATCCCAGGAGGGATCCCAGGAGGGATCCAAGAGGGATCATACGTGGAAGCCAACACACAGCTCATTGCTGTCCCCGTCAGTGGGCCTAAGCATGGGCTCACTTCCACTGAGAATATCGTACATCATTTATAAAGTATGCCAAGCAAAGTGCTAAGTAAGAATAAATATTTTTAGTGCTCCTATGTGTAAACAGGTTTCTGTATTTTTTATTTTACATAGATAGAGAAATAATTGAGCCATCACCAAATTTAATAAATAACACAGTATTTGATCGGTTAAATTATTTTCTATTATATTTCTTGCTAATTTTTCCTATTTTAATAAACCCATATGTTTGCATATCTTTTTTTAATATGTACATATAAGTATCTGTTGAGTATTCTGGAAGTATCACCTTCAGATTATGAAATATTTGTAGGTAGCTTTGGTAAGAGGGTTTTCTAAATGTTTTTTTTCTTTTTCCCACTGAAAAAAAATCAAAAAGTTGGATTTTTTTTCATTTAAAATAATGTAAGACATGAATTTCAAGCAACCTGACCTGTGAAAGATGTCCCTGCTTATGGCAGGGGGTTGGACTATGTGATCTTTAATGGTCCTTTCCTACCCAAACTAATCTATGAATCTTTAATTCCATAAACTTTGCCTTTTCAATAAATTGCGAGGATCTAAATTTTTACTACTGTCTCCCCTGTTTTATGAATTATGAACAACTGTTTGATCTTTTCATCTTCATGATTGTATTTTGGAATTTCTTTAACAAGAATAATATTGAATAACAAAAAAAAAAAAGCATTTCAGCATCCAATTTTGACATATGTATTGCTTGTTCTTAAACTTACAAGTTTTAGGAGTCATAAAATGGTGCAGGACTTCTGAAAGCACTTTGATTATAGAATATATGCAATGAACTAATATCAGCCCACCAAATTCAGCTTTTACCAGTTTAAAGATTTAAAGAAAAATTAACAGTACATATTTTAATCATACTGCAAGAATGTTTAAGCCAACTTGATGTTAGAGGTTTTGTGTATAAACTAGTCCTAAATTGTCTGAATTCTTTCATTCTGCTTCTGTAGAACTTTTTATGGTGCATTCAAATCATGGTATCCAAACGCCTCCCAGTAATGCATCAAACAACACGACTGACACCTGTCCCATTTTTATTCTTTCATCCCTTCCCCGGGGTCTGAGGGAAATTTTGTTAGTTGGTCGTCTTCTCATGTAGCCACATGCACAATAGCTCTGCTTATGCAGAGATAAGCACACGGCCTCAGACACGTGTTGATAAGTACCTGTTAGAAAGAACACTTCTATTAGAGTGAACTGTCTTAATTTCCATGGCTTGTGGGAGATTTTACTATACAGTCCTGGGTGTCCTAAGTATATTTAGGCAGATGAGTTTTCGTATCACCGCTCCACATAACCGTCGCCAAGATCTTTGTTGTGGAGACTTAGTTATCTCATTGGGATTTTCTCTCAATCTCTGAAGATGAATAAAAGCAGTTTCCACTGGTATTTTGAATGGGTAGGTAGGAGGTACTGGCCAAGCTAGCGCATAACATGTCAGCTTTCCTTTGCAGATATAGAGGGCAGAGATAGAAGGAGCGAATGTCATGCTGTCAGCACCCTGTCATTCTTCCATATAGGCTGAGTCAAAGAGGAGGCAGAAAGAAGAGTTATTTTCCTTTTGGATTGTGGCTTTGAACTCGAGGCTTAATATATGAAAAAAAATACAGGTGACCCACCCTGTGTCTCCTGGAAAACAGTACTTTGTGTTGTTCAATTGCCTAATGCCTCTTGATTGAGGCACGATGAATCTTCTGAGGTATCACTAAAATGTCAGTTTTCCTAACTTAGGGGCTTCATATCTGTTTTCATCCATGATGCGGTTAAAGTGATTTGAAATATTAGTACAGCTAAGCTGTTCCATTTGCAGAGCTTGCTGATTGGGTTGACCCCTGTCTTTTTGGCCATTTTTGTTTGCTTGACTTTCACCTGGAATTTGTTAAAAAAAAGATGGCCCTGGCCACACTTTCTGAGAAAAGTGTGTTAACTCTTCGATCAAATCTGGTTCTTTAGCTTTTTTTAACTTCTGCTGGTGGCAGGCTGTCTTTTTTCCTAGGCTCTAATAATAGAGTATTAAAAAGGATATGAAATAATACTCGTCCAGGTTTTTTGAACCCAAACCCATAATTTCCTGGGTGTCCAGGGAATGAAACTATGTCAAAATATATCAGTAACAAGAAGGTATGGTTAACATCATCATGACTGTGAATGTCTGAGCTATATATATGTGGGTTACTAGAAACAAATGAGACCAAAGCAATCTCTGGAGGAAAAGAAGGTTAAAATATTTCAAGCCCCTGTTTTGTCTTTACTGATAGCTGTGTCCTTGCTTCGCAGTAGGGCAGTTTTTTTCTGAAAAATAATGGCAAAGAGCAGATTATCTTATCCATGCAATCTAATTCTAAACTCTTCTGAATGAACAGATGGTTTATGTAGCTAAGTCTTGTTTAATGGGTGTATTGCTAATGACATTAGGTCAGTTCCTAGCTAAACCTCTAATGCTAATCCTTGAAAAAACAAGCCCATCAGATATATCCAGTCTTCACTGGAGAGCTATGGAGTGATAGATATTTATGCGGTGCTAGTGGGGCAACAGCTGTCAAAGAGCCTCTGACTTGCAGTGGAAAAATGCTTTGGTCTAGGCTTTGTCTTTATGGCTTTGCAAACCAGGATTCAATTTGAATGCTTTACGCCGACAGATAAGCAGAGTAGAAGGTATAAGAGTATCTGTAGACACCTTCAAAAAGCTGCGTAAGTGCCTTTCAGCCACCTCCACACACAATACTTACAAAAGTAATTCTCATAAGTTTCATAGGTTTTAAGGCGCCTTTTGAAAATGGCACAACTACAGCTCAGAAATCGTTTTTTGCGTTCCCCTCAAGAGAGATGAGATGTGTTAAATAGGTGTAACATGGGCTCCTCTGGAGTGACGTTACCGAGCACGTGCTACCTGCCAGCCCTCGCCAAGCCTGTGCACCGCAACGTCAGTGTGCAGTTCGGTGGAAGAGGACCAGTGCAACTTCTGAAATGCTTTTGCTACGGATACCTGACATCCAAGTTCATAAGCAATAGGTGGACAGAGAATCCTGCTACTACAGTATGTTCAGATGCCAATGTCTTGGTAATTGTAAAACACACTTTTCTGAACAGATACTTGAATAGCTTCATGGGCCATGCATTTCTTCAGCTTTATTCCAGAACAGGTGATGTTCCTCTGAGGATACTGAGGGATATCCTTATCCTGAGGAGTATTTCACAGTAGTAGAAGCCCACCATTACAAAAGTGGCCCGGTAAAGTCACTCTGTTCAACCATCAGCTCCATGCAACATGAATAACAGGTTTTAAGGACATCTGCCCTGAAACAAATTGAGGCTACTATAATTAGAGACATACCTGGATATATCAGAAGCATCCATTTTATTTTGTGCCATTGCCTCTCTTTTGTTAAAATTATTACAATCTTTTCTACAATTACTTTATTTATCAGTATTTCCTTCTTCACAGTGTCTTTTGTAACTATTTTCCATTCTGTGTCATTTGCCCCTTTAATAGTACAACTGCTGGTATTACAAATAATTACTGACTCACAATGAGAACTGTTAAAATCCCTACCGCCCACGTGTACACACTGTGGTTTATGTAATGAAAATATTTATCCTGTTGTGGGAAACGCCGTGTAACACAACTTGTGGCTTACCTTCTAGGAACGAAAGCCACGTATAGCACTCTTATCTAGCATTTGTGATACTTTCCTTGCCTTGTTTACCAGGGAATTGAGATCGGGCTTACTTTTTATTTCTGTAGGTTCTATACAGATTAAAGGAGAAGATCCAGTTGTCACTGAGACAAGAGAAGGAAAAGAAGCAGGAGATCCACCTCTCGCCCCTTCCCCTGCAGACAGCTCAGTCCGAGTATAAGACCACCAACAGCATGGTCCAGCCTGAACGGGCTCCAAAGGTTGTCAATGTTGTAGTGGACCCTCAAGGCCAATGTGTTCCTGAGCTCAAACCTCCCCTGTGCGCCAGTCCGTCTCCTTTCAGAATGAAACCTGTGGGGCTCCAGGAAAGGTAGGATGATGCCTGGCATGCTCAGGATTTATTCTGCTTTGTTATACTCATGCTGCATGATTTCATATGTCTCTCTTCTGTCAATGAATCGGAGACTTTGTCATACGGACGTCTGAGAATTGGGGTTTTGGTGTGTTAATATCTGTCTCGTGGGTATTCTTTCCTTTCCTTTTCATATGAGCAAAGGTCCAGAAGTATGGGCTGAGATTAACTGCAGTACTGGAATTCTTTTTGCTAATTTGTTTTTTCCCCTTTCCAACAATTACTCCAAAGAAGTATTTTTTCATTTTCCATTGATTTTTGCCTGTTTTGGTCCTGGAGATCCTGGCAGAGGGCACAAGGGCTGGTTATGTTTTGGTAGCAAAGGACCTTCTCATTGTCAGGGAGTC